TCCATGGGTGGCAGGGCGCCGGCGCCGGCGCGCGCGTGGCGTAGGAGGAGGAGAGGAGAGAGTGCGGCGCCAGCGCTCGAATGTGCCGCGCGCGGAACCGGGCGCCCCAAATACACCGCGCGAGATAGCGTATCCGACCGCGTGCCCAACTCCTTATACAACGCGCGCTGTTTTTGGTGCCCGCTGGAGCCACCCGCCGGGTTGTGCGCGCGCTAAAACGCCCACTTTTGCGGCGCGGCGCTTGTTTAGCGCGGCTGTTGGAGATGCTCTCAGTAGGGGACAACTCGAGGCTGACGTTTTATTTTTTTTATAAAGAAGGGTGACCCCGGTCTCTTGGACTATGCATGCAGTCATTTTATTAGTTATTTACAAAGATCTTCAACAAGCTTGGCAAAGATAGGGGAACACTGCAGTATATTGATGTCATGGTGAGTTCCTGGCATCCCAAAGAAAGAGTGCCAGATCCAGAGGTCCTGTGTGGCCACTGCCTCAAGTACCACACTTCAACCGCCTTTGGCGCCTTTGTACATTCCCTGCCAAGCAAATAGACAGTTCTTCCATTTTCAATGCATGCAGTCGATGCTTCCAAGCATCCCAGGAAATCCTCTTGCTGCATTCTGTGCTAAGATCCGAGTGGTGTGTTCATCATTGGGTGACCGCAAGTATTGCGGTCCAAACATTGCCACCACTGCCCTGCAGAACTTGTAGAGACACTCAATGGTCGTGGACTCGGCCATGCGCCCATAGTCGTCGAGTGAATCACCGGGAGCTCCGTATGCAAGCATCCTCATAGTTGTCATGCACTTCTAGATTGAGGTGAATCAAGTGTGCCAGTGCAATCCTTCTTGCACTTGAAGTAGCTGTCAAACTCCCAGATGGAATTCACAATCTTGAGGAAAAGCTTTCGAATCATCCGATAACGGCGCCAAAATGTTTTCTCGTCGTGCAATGCAGCATCGGTGAAGTAGTCAGAGTAGAGCATGCAGTAGCCTTCCAGACGATGTCGGTTCTTTGCTTTCAGCCGCCTCGGCCCCGGGCCACCTCGCCGCGGCTTTTCATTCGCAAGCAGGGCGGCGAGGACCATGAGATGCTCCTCCTCCTAGACGTCGGCTTCGGCTTCCTCCTCCAGCAACGCCGCGAGCGCCTCCTCCTCGTCTGAGTCCATCGCTGGGCCGGGCGGACAAATCGTCGAACACCTGGCGGGCGTCGTAGGCGCATAGCCGCCGGTATGCCGCCCTACGCGGCCGGGGCACCAGAAAACTCACCCAGGAGGTGGTGAAGAGGTTGCCGCGGCGAAACCTTCTCTCCTTTCTGGCGGGGAATGGCCTATCTAGCGGTGCTGGGGAATGGTGGGCGGCGCCGGGATCGGTAGGGTGGTGGCTGAGCGCGGGGGTGGGGGCGAATCTGGACGATTTCCTTGAGTTTTCGCCTGACAGTGTGGCCCAGGCGTGTTTTTCCCTTCCACCGGATCCCCGAGTGCCCCCAGCGCGCTGGATTCGGCCTAGGATCGCGAGGCTAAAAAACGGGCTGAGTCGGCGGATTTCAGCATCTTGGGGGCGCGACTTGGGCTTTTTTTGGCGCTGGCGCCCAAAAAGTCTCCCTGGGGGGGCCTGTTGGGGGCGCGGCTAGAGATGCTCTAAAGTCGGAGGCCCCAACTAGGGGCACACACCAATCCCGCGCACTCTCAGAGGTCGCCGCCGCCGTCTCTAAGTGATCCATCTTTAGAACAGGTACTGATGCATCGACCTTGCCAGCCTACCGTCGTCGTCACCATAGCGCCAGACAACGCCACCTCCCTTCGCACGTCCATCATCATACATCCGTCGGTGAGACCCTGCTACGTCACACTACCAAGACTCCATATCGTCGATGCGTGACATGAAACGCCGGTCCACCGCTAAAATCGTCCACTGGTCCCTCGAGCCAATGCATACCTTCAAGAATGATGCCCCCAAGGAGAGAACAACACAAGTGTGCCACCATCATCCGATCAATTGATTAGGGGTTTCCCCCGGAGGTAGTGGGAGGAGTTGGGAGCTTCAGCTCGATGATGCCTTTATGAATAAAATGACGCTTCACCATCACCGACTTCGACTACCGGCCGAAGACCGGGTTTTTACCTGGATCCGTTCCAAAAACATCCAACCAAAAGTAAGGGCATCTCCAATGGCAACCCAAAAAAACCTCCTGCATTCATCCACAGACAAGGAGGACCATTCCGCGTACACGAATGCGAGAGACATCCATCCAATGCTAGCCACATACATATTCACAACAACTCAAACCAACTGGATGAAATTCATGCAAACACGGCCGGATTTCATGCAAACTCGACCTGATTTCATACAAACATGATGAGTTTCATACAAATGGTGATATTTTGGAATTATTTTAACTAAAAAGTTAAAACTATGTGCACGTACGGTCGCACGGAGCTCTACTCCCATGACACGGATACACTACACTAGTCTATGGCCGGCCGCGGTGGATCCCTTCGTCACCGGACTGTTGAGAGTCCTTGAGGCATGTTCTTCCCCCATATCTTCCCTATGTTTGTTGAGCCTCTCATCAGAATGTGGCGAAGAGGGTGCTTCAGACGGAGGGGAAGGGTGCTTCCTTGGACATCCAGGTCAGGGTGGTCTAAGATAAAGAAGAATCCGGACAAGTCACCAGCTGTACAAGCCGGCGACACACCGGCGCTGGCCTTTTTGGGACCCAAGCGACGATGGACTCCAGTGTTCTACTTTCCCTCAAAGTTGATAGAGGACGTGGATGCGGATGCGTTGGCCACCGACTCGTCGATCTCCTCTGCGCACCCGCCTTCTCTCTATGTCTGCATGGCATGGCTACGCGCGCGTCAACGACGGATGGTGCGGTTATAGGCACTGGAGGGGCGGTACGACGCGACGTTGTCCATGCTCATGCCTCCGTGCTCCCCTCCGTGCCGGCCTGGAGAAACTCGCCACTCCTTCGTGAGATGGCT